TTCTTTGTCAAAAACAGAGGCACAAAAGATTTTACCTGAGATATCACTCATTGCTGATGTACTGCCAACATGATTAACCATCGAATTAGATTTGTTCTCTGCAAGTAGTGATATGAGGCTTTGATATTGTTCAGCTGTAAGGGTGAATGGTGCAAGACTCGTCGATGTATTGGTATCCACATGGTTGGCTTTGGGAGCGAAATTTTTTCGTTCAGGTTTATTGCCCGTTGGATTGGTCCTTTGCAACTTCCTACAATCATTGATGATGTGTCCCTGCCATCCACAATAATCGCATTTGAGATGTGCTCGACATGTGTCTGAGGTATGCCCAATTTTGTCACATTTTTCACACTTTAGATGAGGTTTTTTAGGCGTGAAAACCTTCTCTGGTTTTCGTGCATTATTCTTCACGGCAAAAGCTGAAGCTTCCGGCTGCAGCACATTTACATTGTTCATGCCGCGTTGTTTTTCCTCTTGGAGCGCGAGAGAATGTGCCTTGCTGACATTGGAAAGGGGATCCATGAGCAAAATTTGTTCTCTTATACTAGTGTATGTTTCATTAAGTCCCATGAGAAATTTCATGATTTCCTGATCTTGTTGAAACTGCATCACTTCCTTCATGGCACCACACGTGCATTTAGGAATGTTATGGAGGGCGTCACGTTCATTCCATAGGCCTTTGAGCTTGGTGTAATAAGCTCCAACTGTCATATCGCCTTGCTTGCAATCGTGGATGGCTTCTTCGACATAGAAAATATGAACGTTGTTGGTACGAGAAAAACGTTCCTTCAAGTCGAGCCAGATTTCATGGGCACTCTCGTTATATATTATATTTGCTCCAATGTCTTCTGCAATTGAATTATAACCATGCCTTGACAAGGTTGTTGCAGCGCCTCCATTGTTGAAGTTCTGCGGTGGACGTCTCTGGTGGTTCTTGGACGGTGTCGTTGACAAAACCTTCTTTGTTTTTTATGTTGAGAGCCATCAACATTGCACGACTCCAGGAATTGTAGTTTTCTCCATTCAGCGGCTGCGTAACAAGCACGAGACCGGGTTGATCTGAGTAGTGGAGAAAAAAGGGGTCATTCGGATTATCGAATTTGCTAGATTCAGGTTTTGCTGAATTTTGAGTTTCGTCTGCCATGTGTTTTGGCTTAGAAAGAAGATAGATGGGGCTTTTGCGTGGAAGAGAAGATGGTAAGACTCAGAATCGTGTTTTCTCTGATAGCATGTTAAAACTCAAAATAATGTGGTGGAATACACATTTTTTCATTGATATGAACGAGTTTATAAATAATTCTTACAATAATCTTGTAATAGGAAAAATAATAAAAGGTAAATGATATGAAAGGAAGGGTATAACATTTAGTATCTCTAATAATTAATTCTCATTAATTGTTAGGAGATATAGGAAATAACGTAAAATAGGAAAATAAATATCTCATTAATTCTAAGGAAGTAATTGAAATAAATTTATTTACAAGAATAAATTATTTCCTAACATAACTCTAATTATAAGAAAATAATTTATTTATAAGAATAAATTATTTCCTATCATAACTCCTAACACTATCAAGTAGAGTGTCAAGGAAGGCATTAGATAGTCTCATTGAGATTAAATTTATTAAATCTTGTCCTTTTTTTCCTTTCGAGTCTTTGTTACATGCAAATCATCTTAAGTAGCTATTGTGAGCTATATCTTAATTTTCTCTTACTTTTAAGCTATTCACCTTCTACATGCACTTCAGTATTTTATTTGCCACTTCAACCCAAGGATTTTTACGCGTTTCCTGTTTTTTCTTGTATAATATTTTATGCAGTTAAGTTTTAGTTCCTCAATACAAACAATATTTATTTTTTAGGGGTACACTACACAAGTTGACATTTGATTTTTGTTTTGGTTTCCAAAACACACATTTTCTGCATACGGCTAATAATCCCAAGTAGTTGGTGTATGGCTATTTATGTTGATGCTGACTTATGACTTTTTTCTTTGTCGTGAATAAGCCCAATTTTTTATGTCCTTTCCACATTTGAAATATTAACTTCCATTTATGCATATTAAAGATAAATTACTATCTGAATCAGTTTTTGAAATAGTTTGTGGATGAACAGTTCCTGAATTAGAATTATTTGGCACTATTTTCTATTCCAACTTTTTTTTCTGTAAATTTTTACTTGAACTGCTACAAAGCATCTAAGAAAGGAACTTGTTTGTTTTTTTTTAAACAATTGGTTTCTTTGATTTTCTTATCATTCTTGCATTAATGCTTGTGTGAATTTGGTTGGAGACGTGAAATGCATTCAACTTGAGCATTTAATTTGCCTTCTTCTTTTCAGGCCATGCTTGTATATATGTATTCTGACGAGCTTCCTGATGTCGTCGAACTGACTGGATCAGTTTCAATGTGCACATCAATAAATATGGTGCAGCATCTATTGGCCGCTGCGGATAGATATGGACTGGAGCGGCTGAAACTACTATGTGAAGGAAAATTATGTGAGGAAATTACTTCAGATATGGTAGCATCCACAATGACACTAGCAGAACAACATCAATGTGCTCACTTGAAGTCTGTCTGTCTAAAATTCACTGCAGCTACAGAAAATTTAGGAGGTGGGTATGATTTCAATATTCTAACTTTGGGTTTTCCCTATTTCAATATGCATATTTCTTTTTCTTTTAAGCAAATAGAAACAGGCATTTTCATATATAGTGGAAACTTTGATTTCTTGGAGCAACTCAACATATACTCGGTATCATAAAAGTGCTGAGTAATTTCTTGTGCGCTTAACTAGTATTTTTGCGAAATAGATTTTATAAGAAGCATCATATTTCTGCTGAATTTAAACAGAGAACTGCAGAATCAGAGTTATTTGTAGTGGTATTTGTAGGAAATCATAATGTTGTCCTTTTGATTTATTATAGACCTACTCTTGTGTTGCTAGATAATCATTTTGATGCCCAAAGGCCTTATTAGTTGCAGTCTCCTTTTAGTAACTCATTTATGCCTAGGGCTGTCAAAACGGCTCGTTGTTCGCAAACAACTTATGTTAACTCGTGTTCGATTCGTTCGCTAAACAAGCGAGCCGAACACGAGCAATTTTTTTGTGCTCAATATACAAACGAACAAAACACGAACAAAGATTTATTGTTAATGTTTAGATATATATAATTGATGAGTATTATTTTTAAATAATTTAATTGACTACAAGACTACAAAGATTTTGAATCAATTAAAATTATTAATTAAAAAAAACTAAATAAAAATATATATTAAGTTCTATTTAAATGAATATTTTATTATAAATAATAAGATTTAAATCTTGCCCTTAACTTTAACATCATACGACTGTGCGATTAGGGCTATCAAAATGGTTCTTTGTTCGTGAACAGTTCGTGTTCAGCTCGCTAAGCAAACGAGCTGAACATGAACACGTTTTTTTAGCTCGGTATATGTATGACGAACACAAACAGTGATATTTTTTAAATAACTGGACACAAACCGATCCTGAATGATAAAGCATTAAATGTTGACATTTCCAAGCAAACCTTAGCAGAATGATTCCTAGAGGAAGGCTGAAAAATTTTACTCTATGATGATTAGGGATGTGCCCTCGTGGGCCTCTTTTATTCGTAACTCAAATAATATTCACCTGTGTATGCTAAAGTGCTTACATTTCAATATGAATTTGTGATTTTTTCATGAATCGTTGCCGTTAAACTATACATGGTCAAGGTCTAAAATATCTAAACTATATTCAACCACTCTCTGTGCCTCTAAACTTATGTAGTAATGATACCAGAACTCGTTGGGAAAACTGCGGAAAAAACACAAAGCAACTTTTATTAATAGGGAAATAGGGTTACAACACAACACAAACTGATAATAACATCACTAACACATTAAACGACACAAACAACACCTCGAAAATGCATTTCACTTTCAGTAAAGGTTAGTTGGGTGGATCGGCATGGCTAACAGGGGTGGCGACGGCAAAGGTGGAGTGAGAAACTGCAAGAACAACTTGAGGGCTGGCCGCCCAGTGCAGCAACAACAAGAAATTAGGGCAAAAATGACAGGAACGACAAAGGTTTGTTGTATTGGGGCCGAGGCAGCAAGGACTGGTGGGTCGAAAGCTATGTTAGCGACGATGTGGGCGGTTTGTGGTGGCGAGAAGGTGCTGGACGACATGGTAAATGCAAGAGATGGGGCAGCAGAGACTGGGCAAAAGGATTTGGAGTGACTGATAGCTCTGGGGAAGGAGTGTTGGATAGCCAAAAGGAGGAAGATAGACACTACCTTGGAGTAGGATACATCTGGAGCAGACCACCTCCTTGGATACAACCCACAAAGGGGAAAAAGACTCCTCACAGGAATCTGAAATCAACACATAGCAAAACTCCCCCTAAACTTTGAAAACAACAAATAAATAAGAAAAGGAAAAAACATAAATAAGGAAACTCCCACACAAAATAGGTGGGGAGGCAAGAAATATTAGAAATTAGCCATTAAAATGCTTTCATATGAAGAAGCAACAGAAAATGAAGGAGAAGTGGGGAGGGCGGCAATCCTGGCCCGTCAAAGTCCTGTATAGGTCACTCGGACTGGGTTTACCCTGGATTAGCCTCAAATGGGTCGGCCGGTTCAACAACGGTAGTTTCCGTTGCGGAAGACCCTGAACCCGTGTCCTGATCTCGCATCCTACTTCTGCGTCGGTATCTTAAGGTTGAGGAAACTTCAACCTCATTCGTTGAAGCTTCTGGTTCTTGTTTTCAATTTTGTTGACACCTGGATCCCATTGTCGATTGCTCTGTCCCTCAACGCGATGGAGATGCTTGCCCCTTTTATGAGAACGTCTTTCTTTAGCCGTTCTCCTATGGCTGTGAACACGTCTGCATTGCTAAATCTTCTCCAAGTAACTCATGGTCAGTTCAATCAGACGAGCAGTGAGGCCAGCCCGAACCTTCCCATCCTGTGGTGGCGCTGGTGGTGTGATGTTGATCATGAGCCCCTAAAATACTCTCTGTCATATCTATCCTATATTTGGAGCAGGTCTCTCAGCCCTCTCGTCTGGTGTCATCACTAACACTGATCTCATTGATGTTGTTCTGCTAGTCAGGGCTCCTGTGTTCTCGGGCACCGTCGAAGGGAGTACAATGATGTGTTTCTCATCCTTGGTAAATTAATATGTTTTCTTAAATCCATTGTGTTGAGTCATCTGGTCAAACTGTCATTGTCGTCCCAACAGGAGGTGGCAGGCATCCATAGAGATCATGTCACACCACATTTGGTCCTGCACCTGGCCTCTGATCGAGAACTCTATCAAACATCTCCGATCGATTCTGATCCAATTCTCTTTCTTTAGCCATGCTAGTGAGTATGGTTGGGAGTGTCTCTGAGTCTTGAGTTCTAATTTCTTTATCATCTGAGTCGATGTCGCATTCTTACTGCTCGTTTTGTCGATGATAAGAATGCATGTCTTTAGGTTCACTATGCAGCGGGTGTAGAAAATATTGTGGTGTGGCCACTGCAAATCTCTAGTGTCCTCGATTTGCAGAATCCGTCGAATCACAAGTGCTTCTCCTTCACCTGGTGGAAGCCGATACACCTCAACCCGTTCCTCAGCTTTCTCCTTGTCGCTAATCTCTTTCACGGTGCCCTGATCTGTGAGGGTAATTATCCGGCTAGTGGGATAGTTGGAGGCTATGTGGCCATACTTGTGATATCGGCAGCATTTCCTGGTCGCTACGATGTTGGAGGAGCTACCTTTCTCCTGCTTATTCCCGCTCTGATCTGGAGTGTCACTCCCTTGCTTGGGCTGCTTGTATCTCCTGGGGCATTTTTATCGGTTGTTGTAACTGTAAGAGACTGCCTGCCTAAAGGATGACTATTGTCGACTCTGCTTTGTTGTCTTTCTACCTTCAGGGCTAGTGTATGGACATCCTTCGACATTCAGTATGATTGTGGCTGCATCATGTTGCTAATACTAGACTTCAGACCCCCAAGGCATCTGACTATTATGTTCTCCTCTGGCTTGACCATATCACATCTCATATGCAACTGATCAAACTGCTCCGTGAATTTCTCTACTAATAGATCTCTCTGTTGTAGATGGTAGTTTCAAAAACATATCCTAACTGTAATGGGGTGGGAGGTATTTTCTTTGCATCGCCTTTTTTATATCCTCTCGCTCAGTAATCTTCTGGTTGCCTTCTCTTTTTCTGTGCTTCTATAGGTTCTCCCGCCATAGAGAAGTACTCTTCTTCAGCTTGTTGGTCGTTAATTTGACCCACCTATCATCTGGCACATCTCTGTACTAGAAGATCTGCTCAGCAGTCTGTAACCAATCAATGAAATCGTCAGTATTCATGATTCATTCGAACTATGACAGATTTATCTTGATATCGAAGTCTCTGTGTCCTCCAATGATATCTCTTCTTTGCTAGTCTCCTTCTGAGGGGGATTTGGATATCCCTCTCTAGGCCTCCTCGGATACTGAATTCTGAAACACTATGACCTATCTTCTTCATCGCAGAAATTTTCTCTATGGAAGGGATTCAGATTCTCATCTCTTTCTCCTCTTCGACTCTCCAGATCTCAGTCGAAGGTAACTTCATCTTGTGTTAGTTCTTCAATCTCTGCAAGCCTTTGTTAAAGGCGACAGTGCTCCTGCCTTATCTCTCATTGGGTATTTTGGGGCATTTATCTCCTTAGTGGCATGGCTAGGGATTAAAGAATAAGAAAGAAAAAGTTTGGTGGGGTTAGGATTTGGGTTGTGGAAAGAGAGTATTGGTTCATGGCGTATGCTAGGAAACCCTAGGATGGGGTTAGGGTTGGACTAGCTCTGATACCAAATGATACCAGAATTAGTAGGGAAAATAGTAGAAACACAGAAGCACACTTTTATTAATATGGAAATAGGTTTACAACACAATACAATAGAAATTAACAACACTGACATATGCGACACAAGCAACACCTCTAAGGTGTATTCCAAGGGCGGTGCGGGTCGGTTAGGTGGATTGGGATGGTTGGCAATGGTGGTGGCACCCATGGAATGCTGATGACAGCTAGGGGGAGGTGTAGAATTATAGTGACAACAAATATGGAGGGTTTAGGCAATCAACGTCAGGCGGAGGGGTGGCTGGAAGGTGTTGGAAAGCAAGGTAAATGCAAGACATTGAGTGGGAGAGGCTGGGGTAGGGGATTAGGAGTGACCGGCTATGGGGAAGGAGGAGGTTGGATAGCCAAAAGAGAGGAAGATACATACCACCTTGGAGTAGGGTACAGCCAGAGAACTACTACCTCTTCAGATGCAACCCACAAAGAGGAAAAGAACTCTACATAGGAATCTGAAATCAACACACAGCAAAAACTCTCTCTAAAATCTGATAACAACAAATAAATACTCTTACATGAAGAAGAAAAGATAGAAATAAACAAGGAAACTCCCACACAAAAAGAAGGGGCGGGGAGACAAGAAATATTCGGAAATTAGCCATTAAAATACTTCCAAATGAAGAGGAAGCTGAAAAGGAAGCAGGAGAGGGGTGGGGCAGTCCCGCCCCATCAAACTCCCGCCCCTAGGCCGCTCACCCAGGGTTTACCCTGGAGCGGCCTCAATTGGCCCTGCCTGTTCAGCAGTGGTAGTTCCCGCTGCGGAAGACCCCGATTCCGCACTAGGGTGCCCATGAATATATTCAAGTGAGATCTATCATCTAGAGCTTAAATTAACTAATCAATCATCATATGTAATAGTTTGTTAAGAGTGTCGAATTATAAATTAATCTCACCTCGCAGCAGCTTTATAGTAACTCTCAAAATCTAACCTTAGTGAAGATGTGGCGTATGCAATTTGACAAGCCCTGCTTCTTCAATTTATATTTTATTTGTCTATATTGAATGATCTTGTCTAGCAGCAGTTCAGTACAGTCCCTCCTGCTTACCATCTATAGCACTAAATCATATAGTTATTTGTGGCTTTGGTAACAAGTCAACAACTTTTACTTGATTAATTTGACATGCAAATTAGCATCCCATAAAAACCACCATGATAAAGTGATGCGAAGTATAAAAAATAAAAATCACTAAGCTGCAATGATTTTCAATTGGTGCATTTATATACATACAACTCAATTACTATGTATTCACATATCTAACAACTAAACTTTTAATTCTTTACTTAAATACAACCTTACCTATGCTATGCATGAAAATATGTATTTCATTTTTAAACGTTAAACTGGTGGCATTTTTTATGTGATATAAAAGATTTGCATGGTATAAATGTAAAAAGCAAAGTTAAGGTGTTAGATATGTAAATACATAAATAAGAATTGGGTGGCATGCATGTAAATCCTCCTCTTTTTTATTTTTTGTCATCCCTGCTGCTGTGTCATATTCCTCTTATTCAGAGCATGTCATTGTGGCAGTTGTGCTGCAGACTGAGGGCTTTGGCTACTTGGAGCAGTCATGCCCATCGCTGCTGTATGATATTCTAGCGACCATAGCAGCTGACGAGGACTCCACTAGGAAAAGGAGCAGCAGCAGCAACTTAGGCCTTGCTTTCATGGATGGTGTAGATTCCAGTGGGAGGCGAACAAGACGGCGGTTTTAGCTACGAAATCAAAATTTTAACTTCTGTAACCCCCAGGTAGGTTAGGTCCTCCTGTAATCATAGCTTTGTGTTGCCTCCTCCTCCATGAAGAGTCCCTGCTGTATCATTCCTGTGGAAAATGGCTTCACTTGTATTGTTTGAATTTTATATTTCTTTTTTTTTTCATGAATAATCTTTTCTGCTATTGTAACCTCCGGTGTGTAGTTTTCTCGATAGCTGGCTATTCGTTGCTCTTCAATCTTGAGGCATTTACTTATATACCAAACAATTGTGTTGCATTTACATATCTACCAACTGAGCTTTCATATTTTCCATTAGTTAATATCATATCAAACGATATCACCTTTACGTTTTTAAAAGTGAAACAACACACGCGATGTCAGTGTTATAAATCTAAATATAAAAATGGGAGATACAATTGTGTTACTAACATGCCAGCAAATTCCTACATATTTATATATATCTGACAGCTATACTTTTATTTTTTTACATTTATACCACTCAAATCTTTCATACCACCATTTTTAACATTTAAAAAGTGCATAGATAAGATGGCATGTATGTAAAAATTGACGTAGGTGCTAGATATATAAATACATAGAAATTGCGTGGTATGCATGTAAATCGTTTTAAAAACTTTTTTCCGCCCCTTTGAAAATGGTTGGTTTATCGTGGTTGTCTTACGTTTTAAGTTGACGTCTGTTTTTTCTTTTAATAAATCTAATTATCATGGTTAAGCCTCTTAAATTATGTTCAATGTTTCATCATTGCGTCCCAGTCGTTAATAATTTTACCTCAAAACTCGTGCTAAAAGTTTTCTTGATATATTTTACTAATGAACTTGTAAGAAAATTATTTTTCATCTATTTCAAAATTTTATCTTGACGAATTTTATTTGGTTGGTAAATTTTAAAGAAAAATTTATTTGCAAGGTAATAAATAATAAATATCATTATTTTTATGATTGGCATTCATCTTGGAAATTCATGGTTAACTTCAAAATATATATATATATATATATTTGTTTTTCTTATTTTTGCAATATCCATTTAAAATATTCATGAAAATATTAATTTTATTATAATGTTCAATTATGATAATGTTCTTTGTATGGAGAGTAAATTATATCTCCATAATTGGAAAAATTATTTCATACGGAATGCATACATTATCTGATGTCCACCAATCATCAGAGCAAACATGTATTTCGGTGGGCTATATTTTTAATTTTTCTTTATATAAAAAAAAATGATGGATGGTGGAAATCAAACAGCATATGTATTTCCGTATGGAATAATTTTTCTCATAACAAGTTACACTCCTAACTAAAATATGTATATTTGACTTCTAACAAAATAACTCTTATCATTTGGGGCATGATGGAATCAAAAGCATGTTGCATTCAATGTGTTGTATCTTTCTTTATAACGCTCCATACAAATTATATATAGTTTCTAAAGTTTCTACTATAATATGTAAAATGAAAATAAAATCAAACGAGGACATTACATTAATTCCTTTTAGTTAAGTGCTTTTTGTTCAATAATTAACATGCTTCCATGTTGCTATCGATATCTCATATAAGATCAAAATACTCTAAGAACCAATAAAATAATTGCATCTTTCTATTCTATCAGCACTTAAATAGTAAGAGTAAGAATTTTCAAATAAATTAAAAAAGAGGTAGCTATAAAATCACAAACTCTTTAAATTAGTCCCAAAATAGTTCCTATGGATGACTATTAGAGTCCCAGTTTAAAGATTTGGAATTGGAGACTAATTTCTATAAACTTTGAGACTAAAATGTCTAATGTAAATACTAAAGGGACTATTTTGGGACTTTTCTCCATTATTAACCGTAAGTAAGAAAATAATATAGAGGGAATTCATATGATATAATAAATAAAAAGAAATACTAGAAGTTGGCTGTCAAAAAAACTCGTTGTTTGCGAACTATTCGTGTTTGGTTCGCCAAGTAGTTTGTGTTCAATTAGATTGATAAGCAAAAGAGTCAAACACAAATATTTTTTTTAGTTCGATTTATAAACCAACCAAATATGAAGAGTTCAAATTATAAAATAATTATATATAAAAAGATTATTATATTTTAAAAATTAAATCTTATAAATTATAATATATAATAAATTAATAATAATAATATATTTAATATTACTAATATGAATATTATATGTTTATATAATATAAGTTATATAATTAATATAACATACTATATATATATATATATATATATAAACAATAAACCCAAAGCTGCTTACCGGGTTCGGCCTCCCCTTTCACCTCTCGAAAGCTTTCGGGTTCGGCCGCAAATCTTCTGAGTCTTCTCCTTCTCTCAAAATAGCAAAAAACTTTCGGCCGTGAGAGCTTAGGATTTGTTGTTTGTGTTCGTTCTCTAATCTCTACTTTTCTTTGTCTTCGATTTAAGTATCGTTGTCCTCGGCAAGTCGGCCTTGGATCGACTGCTCGGCTTGGAGGCTCGATATTCTTGCTTGATTGCTTGTAAGGCTACCGAGGTGTAATCATCGAGCGTCTTCTCTTTAATATTTCATATTTATCTTCAGGTTCACCTCTTAGCTTAAAATTTCTTAAAATTCTATAGATTTATTTTTTTTTTTTGAGTGAAACCAAGTTTTGAAGTTTTTGGTAGTGAAATCTCTCATATTACCTCTAGATCTGATTATTTTATGGATGAGATCTGATATAAGTGTTCCATTGTGAGCTGTGTTTCCGCTATTGTGCATTTTTGCTGTGATTCATACATGTTTAAGCATTAATTTCATAGAGATTTAAGCATGTGTGCTGTGATTTGACTATTTCCTCTAGATCTGATTTTTTATGGATGAGATCTGATATAAGGGTTTTGTTTTGAGCTATGATTTGGCTATTGTGCATTCTTAAATTTCATATGGATTGCGTGAATGCCTGTCACTTTGATTTGGTAAAGCATAGCGTGATTGCTTGAAGGGTTGTCCGTTTATAAATTTCTCTTCTTGCGTACTCACAGTAGATACACCTGTTACAAGAAGAATTGTTGTTGCGGGGGATGAACTAATGTGCAATTAATTATGAGAAAAACTAATATATGTATGTGTGTGTGTGTGTGTGTGTGTGTGTGTGTGTGTGTGTGTGTGTGTGTGTGTGTGTGTGTGTGTGTGTGTGTGTGTGTGTGTGTGTGTGTGTGTGTGTGTGTGTGTGTGTGTGTGTGTTGATGGGGGAGCTATGTTAATTAATGAAGCAAGTTTTCTAAATGTAACACAAGCTATAAAGCCAATAACTATTATATGGCTCAAGCTATCATGCTATCGAGTAGAATGAAGCATACGAATGAAGTTGCAGTAGGAGATGGATCATTGGGTAGAATACGTGAATCAAATGGCCCTTCAAATCTAGTGACTAGTTGCAGTAGGAACCACAAGGAATGCAATTTAATAGTTATATCTATTAAGCATTAACATGCTATGATTTACACCACTTAGTTAGCAAAAAATGAAGCTGCAGGTAAATCATATTGATTTAAAGTTTCTAGAAATTTAGATCACTCCATAATGTATTGAGTGGACCTGTTTATAGATCTGGGCATAAGAAATTCTTCAATCTCTAAGACTTTTTGAGAGGACTAACTAATATGGGAACAATCTAGTCCATTTTGCCTTCAAAATGATGCTTTCCAAAGAAAGTTAAAATTTTCATTGACCTAAACTAAATGAAGCAAGGCAAGCCAACCTAAACAGGATCATAGTTTGATTCAGGCTTGAAACCCATACCAAGTGGCTCCCATGCTGCTGGTTAATAGAAAAATGGCGATTGGTTCATAATGAAATGAAACGTGACTTTTTCCCAAGTAATAGTAGAGGAAAACAAGGGTAACACTAAAGATAGCAAATCACCTCTAGCGCAAACTAAGGTAGAAATTCAGGGGCTTCAGAAGCTCCTTAAGAGCCATGCTGAAATAGTAGCCTGCGGAGGTGTGTATCTCCTATGGTAAATGAGAAAGGGTGGAGACCTTTGGGATTTTATCCATCTACTTGGAATGGCTATCATTAGTTGCACCCCCACGAAAAGGGTGGAGGCACCACAAACTGGAAGGTGGCACTCACAATGCCCTTAAAGCTTGCTATATTAAACAAAGTTTTATCCAAAATGATGAAAATTGTACAGTTTATAAGGTGCAAAAAAGTAAATTATTTGTCTTGTGATGATTTGATGTTCTGAGCCAAGTTTTTACTTTTGTTTACTTTAGTTTTGTTTTGTTTTTAATTATTATTATTTTTTTTTGTTTTTATTGCTTTTGTTTAATTTTAATTGTAGTTCATTGGAAGCATGCATATGATCATAACCAATTTAGAGAATATGTTGTGTTTTTTTAATTCTTATGCTCATTTTGTTTGGTTATATATATATTTGCATTTTTTATGTTCACTATTTGTTAATTTGACGACTCTTGTATTATTCAATCACTATTTATTGATTCAGACCTCTATTGAGGCGTGTACATTCCCGGGTTTCAATTTTTCACTCAAAAAATTATATATCGGGCTTACCTTGGCTCCTTGTTGTTGTTCTTTATCAAGCATCTATGATTTTTTGTTGATTAGTCTTTTGTTATCGGTTTCATAGTCTTTTTTATCAACAAAAGCTAATATATTACTCAAGCTGATAAGGAACACTGGTTGAAGACATTTAATGTTGGTGATCTATATAATAGAAGTTGTAAGCATTGAAATTTGGCCCCTTTCCAATTCTGAAATGTATAAACAACAATGCTTATGTGTTTGTTGTCTTTGCCTCCAGAGTTAAACATATATTTTGCATTCAATGTATCTAATAATAAATACAAATATCCTAGGACCTAATGCAGTTCTTATGGTATTCTTCTCAGTTCTTGCTTACTTTATACTATACTGGTTGTTGGTTGTTGGCTAAGGTCTATTAGTATTGCCATATTGGTCATTTGGCTGTTGGACCACTTGGTGGTTGGTTGTTGGCTAATAGCTATTGTACAACTTTTTATGTTTTTGACTGTAAGCTATTAGCTGTGAATTAATCGTTACTTCCGATGAATAATATATGGATTACATACCTTTAAAATATTTGCATTCATGTATAAAATAGAGTTCGAAATTGGAGATGTGACTGGCTTTTTGTTTCAGTTTTCATTGCTACTATCCGTAGTTTTTGGATTTTCTTATTATATCTAATTTTGTTGATTTGTTTAGTTACTTCTTGATCTTTCTCTTTTAGTGGGGTATTTTGTTCGAGCGATGATGTTTTCCAACATTTTCATTAAAATTTAACCATACTTATAAATGATTGATGAAAAATATTTATAATTTTTGGAAGAGATTTTAATGTACTTTCTTCATGTAAGTTTTGAGCTGAATTTTATTTTCATTTTCTTGTTTCTTGTTTCTCCTTTTGTCTCTTTTGTTATTGTCCTGTTTGTGTTGTTCGTTGTTAGCAATTGGTTGTTGGATCACTTGGTTGTTGGCTGATGATTAATAATTATTGTGTTGTATTTAGAAGATTTCTACTTGTTAGGTAGCATGCATATCACTCCTCTTTTCATTTTTTTGTCATGACCTAATTAGTTTTTTGTTTTGTTGTTTTTCTAATTTACATGTACATTAAAGTTATAATAAAATAAAATTTGGAGGAATGAATATTTAGGTGTTGGAAGTTGGAAAGGAGTCTATTTTTTTTATAATTTAGCTGTAAATTGTTGATTTATTACTTAATTGTTTTATAATAATGATTTATAGTTTTTTAAGAATTTGAGTTTGGAACTTCAATCTATATTTCACTTGTAACTTGTGATTAATAATTTGTAATAATATAGTTGAAGAAATATTTTTTTAGTGATATTATTTTATTAATTTTTTGATAATTTATTAATTCATTAAATTTATTATCATTTTATTTTTTTTAACTCATTTCAAATCAAATTATAATCGAACACGATCAAACCAAACAATGCGAACAATACAAACAATTTGAACAAATTGAATTAATTTCAAACAAATCGAACCGAACACATACACTAATTTCACGAACAATTTCGAATAGGAGCCTATATTTCAAACATATATAATTTCAAAAGAACCAAATACAAATATGAGCTTTATTCGTTCATGTTCTGTTCGTTTACACCCCTAAGCGGAATTGATCGCACATACTGCCTTCTTCCTCCCCATTTCTTTCTTCCAGTGCAGGTGACCGCACGAGTGGCTTCTTCCTCCTCTGTTTTTCATCCTTCTAGCGCAGGTAGCCGCATGACGCTGATTTAGCTGCATTTTTTGTTTATTTCACTTGCTCTCGTAGGTTTCTTGATTCACTATACAATTTTAGATTCCGAATGTTCTGCTTATTGTTGCTTCATCGACGATTAGATTAGTGGTAGTGAGGTGGGGATGATTTTCGAAGTTATGCTGTTGTTGTTCTGCTTGATGAGATGGATTTTTATTTTATTTTATGAGATTATTCTTTTTTGGAAATGATGAGCAGATCTATTTATTTGGAATTGTAGCGGCTGATGCGTCATTGATTTCTGAATCGATTATTGATTGCAAATCATTTTTTCTCTGGTGTTTGAAATCCGGGGTGTTCTAAATGAAAATCATTATGGTTTAGATTCGGAATTCGCTCATCCAAATAATGTTAAATGCAACTAGCTTTGTAGCTGGAGATGATCTGGATGTGAAAAGTAATTTTTAATTTGATGGAATCTGGAGGTTTATTCAATTTTCTAATTATTATTTATTTTATCAGTATAAGATCTTTTGTTTGATCTATCGTTAGCCGGAAGTTATGTCGAGGAGAGTTCCATCCAGACGCCTGGCAGAAGGTAGTACTCTGCCTATGATTGGTTCGTTAAATCAGAAATCAAAAGCATCACCACTTCTTTCTGTTGGTCTGGTTGTCCTGGTAAATATACTTTAGATTTTACAGCTGGCTTGTTTTTCATAATTTGGCCGGTCATCCTGGCAGATCAATAGCTTTGCTTTAATAACAATGCTTATTCTCGAAACTTTAATCTTTCAGGGTGCCATTCTTCTTATTGTCTATTCCTACAGTGGCTCAGGTCTGTATTATTTCACTGATGCAAGTTTCAATAATTGTTTGGCTTTATTTATTGTAGAAAATCTAGCTCTGACATTAAATAAGTAATTAGGTTCCATAAAGATGGTTAAAATTTGTGAAACCGTGCTTCCTACTTTTTGGCTTAGCTTAAATTTATATGTTCTCTTATATTTTGAAAGCTGCTTGATTAATCTCATTGGCAGGCTGAAGGATTTTTTGCTTTTTGGAATTGATTTTTTTTTTTGTTTTGTGAATTTGCTTCTGCTTGATTCTTAACTTCTCCGTTCTGGTTAAAATAACCTTACACTAACTTCGCATGAACTAAATTCAGGCTTTCTTTTATTTCAGGTGTATCTAAAGCAGTGAGAGAATCTTTAAGCGGTGAAGGTAGAAGCATTATTTGTTCACACTGAAACACACTATTTTATTTACACTGTATGTCAAACTAGTAGTTGAAGTTGATCCCCTTGGCTGATATAATCATGTTTGTCTTTGAGAGTTCAAAACTTGAAGAAATGTATAATGTATTTGTGGGATTTCTAGATTTTTTTTTTTTTTCAATGGCTGTGTGCTAATAATCAAGTTTTGATCAAATTATCTCCTGTAACTGAACAAAATTTTGGTGTTTGAAAGAGGGGATCGATTTGATGACATTCATGGCAAGTTCACCATCGAACTTGACATATTCTCAGTAATAAAACCATTAAAATAAAGCACATTTGCTTCCCTTGATCACAATGGTGAAAGTAGCGCCTCCAACAAAGTATACCGAGCTTTTCTCTGAATCCAGAAAATTTCAAGTCATGTGATTCTTAGGTTCATATTTCCGTCTCCACTTTGGTTTAATGTAACAAGACCAGCTGATACAAGTATTCATGGTTTCATAATAATTTCTATCGAGTTTCAATTAATCAATATGACGCTGGATTATGTTGGTAATTTTCTACAGAACTGTTGTATATTGCAGCATAAATCCCTTCCTATGATTCCTTAAATACATGAGGTCTAACGTCATCATAGAATTATTCTTTAACGGATTACCTTAACAACTGAAGTTGCTAGAAATCATGGAAAAAGCTAAAATCTTCTTGTTTTCACTGGATAGATAATTTAATGTTATACTTTTCTAATTCAATTAATGTATTTTCATAGCACTCATTTGTTTTAATGATGCCATCCCTTGTTACTTCTTGACGATTAGTCTTTTTGGTTTTAAGGTTGAAATATTGTTTCCTATGTTAGCCTGCATACGATTTAATGGTTTGGTCATGGTTGCCAGGGATATAGCTCTGAAGCAGTCTAAATATTTTATTCAAGATAAATGACTATTCTAGGAGCTTGGTTCTCGCCACATGGTTTTTTATTTTTTTTGCTTTATCTGTGAGAGTCTTATTAATTTGAAGGAGTGGTTTATACTTACCTTTTTTCATTTCTCAGTTAAATAAATGGACTAATCATAGGGAATGTAGGAAAACTTGAAAGAGTGAATTTATAATTTTAACTTTTGTTGGATACATTCTAACCCATTTGCTGTTTTGTTAATGCCAATGTATTATTCTCATGGATATATTTATAGTTTGGAATCTTTGCTATTGTTATTCTCTTTGTTTTTTTCTTGACAACAACAATGATTCTCATTTATCTAAGTTTTAATGGGTGCATGTTTTTTTTTTTTCCTTAGTAGTTCCATAGTGAAAGACTGTACATCCAGATCCATCGATGAAGTCCTTGAACTTTCAAATTTAACTATTTCTTCATATTTGTTTTGAAATCATTTTTGTTCATTATTTTTAATGCTAAATAAAGGATCTATTATAGAGAAAAATGCGTTAGATAAGGATATCACTTTTAAATTAAAGATTAATGTTTTAAGTCAAGTGGTATCTCTAACTTATTATGTGATAAGAGGAATTATGAAAACTGAAGGATGAGTTTATAACATGAAACTAAGATTTTCGACTATTCCCTAAGAAATTTTAAGTATTGAAAACTAAATTTTTTACCAAAAAGTTTAGGGTAAATTACTAAGGTGTCTATATGGTTGAAGTAGGAATGATATGTCTTAGACGATTATCTTTCATAACCTTCGAAGTAAAATCTATTAAAATCTATGCTGTTGAACTTAGAGTAAGATTATTTGGACATGTAAAAAGGAAATTAACTACATATCAATGTGATGGGAGGCAAGGTTAAAGGATTTTGTATGGAAAGTGATAGAATAGAGTAGCATAGTTATAATTTGGGAAAAAAACTTGTGTTAACAATAATAAGTATTGCTTGCACCAATCAATAAAAATGAATGTAGAAGAATGATTCATGATGTTGAACCCAAAACACTTAGGATAATCATTTCTTATTTCCAAGAAGGGTGGAATTGAAAAAGAAAACTAGTGTGATGTAATTAGTTTATGTAGATCTTTTCCCTTATATTTTATTATTTTTATATAAGTTATTGGATTACTTTGCTTTGCTAGTCAATGATTTCTTGCTTGTATAAGGAATCCCAATTTCTATATAACATAAGAAAAGGGTGAGCCGAAAATGAATAGAGTTTTCCTCTGAAAAAAGTGTTTGCTGCCCCAACAAGCTTGTAGAGGTGCATACTGTAAAACCTCTCACACACTTCAATGGGAACTCTAGATGGCCAACAAGATTCTAAAAATTGAATCAAAGAAACTAGAAATTGCTAACTTTCTCTTAGAAAGGTTAGAATCAAATTATTTAACTACAAAAAGCATGCAAGTGTATACTCAAGTAAATTGCATGTGTATACACTCAAGTAAATTGGGAGGCTGGGGATTACTCTTAATTTTGTGAGGTGTTTACAAAAGAAAAATAGAATAAAAAATAGAAAAGAAATAGAAGAAAATTTAGAGAAATGCCAAAACACAACAAAATGAATAAAAGGAAAATCCTAAAATATATGTAGCACGTTCTCTAATATTCTTGTGCTCATTCAAAGCGTAAATCTCCTATTCTTTGACTAATATATATATATATGCCTCATTAAAAAATCCTAAAAATGTTGAAAAAGTGTACGAACTTCGAGAAAATGGAAGGCTTGCTTTTGTGTTGGATCCACCCTGTATAGGTGACAGGGGTAGAGTTGATCGGGCTTAAGCCCCAACAATCAAGTAATAAAATATGGTTTCAAATCTCGTCTCAGTTTAATGAGCCTATTCTATAACGAACCGGGTACCAACATTCCATTTGTGAGTCTCACTAAAATATTTTGCAATGCCTTTACTGGTGGTATTCAAGAGTTGTCATAACAAAATATTTTTTAAAATCATAGAACCATATGGTCGCTCTGCCTTTAGGGCAAGTTCATAATTCTTACACATGGAAATTGCCAACATGTAAGCTCTAATTTTGTGGTCGAGTTAGCAAAGCACTCACTAAATCTCATTTTATAGTATAAGACATAAAGCATAAAGAGATTAAATATTAATTTTAACAAATATGATATCATTAATAAATTTCTTGAATCACTATCGAATTGAGACTGAAATCCTCTTCAAGCTCACATACAAGTCACTAAGAGTACAAAATTACTGCACAAACATATCATCACATCATATGAACTTTGAGCTAAGTTTATTCCAAATTAACAAATCTCTAGTCATGCAGGTTTTTTCCATCTAACTAGAAGGATATAAGTCCAAATTTCTTCAAATCCTAAAATTTTTAGGTCTTGTATATACACCATATGCATAGATTTCAAACTTAAGATCATCTATCTTAAATGTTAATATATAAATTTACTTGTATGTTTGTGTGTCTATATAATTTCAATTGATTCTCAATCTACTTGGGATATCTAGTAGGAGGCAACCTATGACTGCTAATTGGTCTTCCTAGGCTTTGAGGCTTTTCAACCCTCCAATATGGTATATGGGAACATCTTGGTTAAGGTAAGATGACACAACAAGGATTTTTTATAGGTTGACCATCTTTCTCTGTCTTAACCCACATATAAACGTAACCTTTTACCATTAATTCATACCACATCGATATTCTTAAATGATAGTATTCATGGGTATCGCACTTAAGATATTATTAACAATAGGAATTGGTGCCCTTTAGAAATCTTGATTCCTTGTAAACCGTCCATTGTGGTAGATTGGAACATCTTGGTTAAGCTAAGTTGATACAACCAGGGTTCTTAATAGTTTGACCATCTATCCGTGTCTTAGCCCACATAAAAATGTAACTTTCAACTACTAATCCAGATGACATTGATATTCTTAAATGATGGTATTCATGTGTATGACGCTTAATCCCCTTTAGAAACTTTGATTCCTCCTATCTAATATAAATCCTGGATTGTTCAAAATGTTATCTAGGGGAATTGTCTAGGAAATTGAAATTAACTACCTTTGAAAACTCCATGTTTCTCCATGTTTTATATATGATGCTATGAGAAGAAAAAAGATCACGCCACGAACTAGCGAGTGCCTTTATAGAACTCACTCTTCCGTTTGAGTTTAGGTAAAGATACTAAATCAACTCTTCTTCATATTTTATGTTTAAAAATTGAATAAACTGACTTTTTTCTAGTCTTAAAGTTAGCTTCTAACTGTTATTATTTTCTTTGTCTAACATTTATGGCAGATGTCAATCTAACATTTTTTTTGCTGTAGTTGCTTCATGTACTTTAGAAGTACAACATGCAATTCCTATCCTCAAAAATGTATATGGTGACAGCATGCGCAAAGTTTTACATGTTGGCCTTGACACTTGTTCGGTGGTTACCAAGTTATTGAAGGAAGAAGGCACAGAAGCCTGGGGTGTTGAGCCGTATGATTTGGATGATGCTGATGATAACTGCAAGAGCCTTGTACGGAAGGGCATTGTACGTGCAGCAGATGTAAAATTTTCCTTACCTTATAGGCCAAAATCATTTTCGTTGGTCATAACCTCTGATACCGTGGATTACTTAACCCCAAAGTACTTAAACAAAACAATCCCAGATCTAGCAAGGGTATCCACGGATGGTCTGGTTATATTTGCCGGTATGTTCAAATCTTCTTGTTTGTTGGACAATAATTTGTGTTCAAGTGCATATAATATTTTATTGGTTTTAATTCTTATTCAATTTATCTAATCAACTTACCTGTGACCTTGCTGCTTCATTCTTCGTTGGATTAATCTTTTGATTCAGTGAATTTTGGAGTTTTTACACGATTTTGATAAATATCTTGACTGAAGAAGGAAGAACGTGATAATTAAATAGGAACAGCAAGGTCAAGACTAAAGATAAAAGGCAACTCATTTTCATTGCATTACTTCTCTTATGATATTACATTATATGATAATTGTAGATACGTTTAGTAAAATTTGAAATGTAGAGGATGGTTATAAGGATGGAACATGGATGTTTGTGATGCTGAGGTTTTGTTTAGCTGTACATAGGTAGTGATTGGTAGGCAGTTATCACGTTTGGACTGTAATAATTTTGTCTTAATTTCGTTGTCATTTCCACTGAAGGTGATGAACATGTGTTGGAGTGTCAGCTTATCTTGAAGATTCAGGAAGCGGTTTTTCAAAAGCACTTTGGTGAAGATATATGCAATCTGGTTTTGAGTGAAGATGTGAGGGGTGGTGTTCGAATTGGATTTTACGTATTATCTTATAAAATGATAGTATGTATTGATGTGTTTGACCATGAAAGATTGAATTGTTGGTAAGCACAAAATCGAACATATGAGAGGGGTGGTGGTTTGAACTGGAATACTGTAGTTTTGGAGCACACTTCTCAACTAGATTAGATTTGTTGCTGCTTAACGTGAGTACGATGTTCTGTACAGTGGAGAAATGGCCAACGTTTGTTTGTTTCTTGACTCACCAAGAGATGAGAGTTTTGCTTAGAAAGTTGCAGTAGTGTTTTGATTTTTTATAACCCATGGTGTCTCCGTCCTAGTATGAGTGTAAGGAGGCACGTAGTTCCATGTCACCACGGTGGATTGGAAGATTCTTGTGTGAGAGTTATTTTGAGATAACACAGTAACCTTATTTTGAGATAACACAGTAACCTTTTGAGAAGAAGGAAGTGTAGATGTAGGGATGATGCATGTGTTGTGTAACCTGTTGGTTTGAGGTGTGTTATTGTAAGGTATTGCAGTTAGCCTATCATGTGGTTGTAGAGCTAAATATCGATATACTCAGATTGGCTATCTGCATTCGTTGATACTTTGGTGGGTGTGGTGATGTGCAGTTGATAGTAGTTGGTCATTCCTG